TGGCTGGAGAATTCTGGGAGTTGAAGTCCACAAGTCTTAAAGTTGCCAAGTTTGGGAACCACTGTCCTATTCTATTCCTCTTCTCTTCTTTGCCAGGAGGCTGCAGACCCTTCCAGGGGTCCAGGCACCCAGGGGGTCTTGCCAAGACCTTCCCACAAGTATCCTCTCTGTCTAGCTTGTTCTTCATGGTGCAAGCCTACTCACAAACACACACACACACACACACACACAGAATGGGCAGCAGGGGCCGAGGGTTGTGAGTCCATGGGGAACAATCCCTCAGTGGGGCAATTTTCCTCCAGAGGTTGTGGGGGCTCCAATCACTGGAGGCCTTTAAGAAGAGACCAGGCAGCGTGGAGATGAACGGGTGAGACCCTTGAGAACAAAGAGGAATCTGTGTCCTTCGAGACGTGGGGGCGATTTCATGGTTGGTGAGAAAAGGGCTATGAATAAAAGATTACAGAGGGAGGGAAAGAGACAGACAGAAGAGCATTAATCTACAAATGTACAGTTAAAATATGGCATATGGGGAACTATTGCAATGAAAATAAAATGCGGAAGAGGGAATTTATTTCTATGTAAATATGGAACTGGGTTTGCTTGAATTCCACCCCGAAAATCCATCAGGGTGAAGCGGAAAATAAGTAAACACAACAACGGAAGGAGGGAGGAGAGGGTAAAGGAAGAGAATGGACAGCCGCTTGTCTGGAATTGGCAGAGGGTCTCCTGCTCGAGAAGGGGGCTGGACTAGAAGACCTCCAAGGCCCCTTCCAACTCTGTCGCCCTCTATGCTGAGTCCCCCCGTGGAAAGGGGCAGAATGGAGAGACTCAGCGGGTGAGACAGTCCTGGATGAGCTCACACTGGGAGCGCTGCAGGGAAGAATTTGGGGGGGGGGGGCTGATTGAGATGTTTCTCTGCCCACCAAGCCGGAATGTTCTCGACTGCTCCAAGGGGCTTCATGCATCAATTCCCACACACCCTCCGTGGCTGAGAAAAACAACTGTAGGTGGGCACAGCCAGTGTGGCTGACTTCCGGAAGAGACACTTATCTCTCTCTCTCTCTGTGCAGTTCTCACCTTTGCAGGTGAAAGGCCCAGCCCAGGGTCTCTTCTGGCCCCAAGCCGGGACCTCATGAGGAGACCTTCCATCCTACAAACTCCACGAAGGATTGCTCAATTCCCGGAGCGCCTTTGCTCCGTCCGGAGGAGCCCAGGGGTCCCGGAATCTCAAATGGAACCGCCTCGGCCCTCATTCCCAGTATTTCAAGCGAGGGGGCTGAAGGCGTTTCCTCTGCTGGCTCTGGGAAATCAGTTCAGTTCAGTTCAGTTCAGTTTATTAAATTTATATGCNTGAAATGAGGACCCAGACTGTGGGGGCCATATGCTGACTCTGTAAACCGCTTAGAGAGGGCTGAAAGCCCTATGAAGCGGTATATAAGTCTAACTATTGCTATTGTTATATACCGCTTCACGGTGCTTTTACAGCCCTCTCTAAGCGGTTTACGGAGTCAGCCTTTTGCCCCCCACAATCTGGGTCTTAATTTTTACCCACCTCGGAAGGAGGGAAGGCTTAGTCCACCTTGCGCCTGGTGGGATTCCACCTGCTAAATTGAAGGCAGCCAGTAGAAGTGGCCTGCAGTACTGCCTTCTAACCACTGCGCCACACGGCCCACAACCCTCCTGGAGTCCGGTGGGCTTGGCGGGGAGGTGGATGTGCCTCAGGGAGGTCGTTTCCAATGCTGCCCTCCATGGCTGGCTCTTCCCGCCTGGCACCTCAACAGTGGAGGGGAGGACCCTCCCCTTGGGCGGCCTTCCTCTCTGCAAGGCGCCAGGAGGTTTTCGTGGCCACGGGGTAGAATTGCCCTCCCTCCCTCCCTCCTTCCCTTCCAGCCTGGTTTTCACCGGGGGGCTCCTGGTGGTCTCCCTCCCAGTCAAAAATGAATGGGGGCCCCCATAACGAGGGCCTAACCCTGGTTCTCCTTCCAGGCCTCCTCCTGGGGAAGATGGGGGAGCGCGGGGCGCCCCTGGTTAACGTCTGCCAGTGCCTGAATGAGGCCGTGATGAAGATCGTGGCCATGGCGACATGGTAAGTCCCAGCCCCCCTCCCTCCCCAGGCCAAGCAGCGTTGCCCCCCGGTCGTCAGACGGGCAACCAGCTGAAGGATCCCCCCCCCTGCCAGCCTTTCCAGCCCCCCTCCCAGATTCCCCAGTCGTGTTAAGGGTGCCTGCCCCAAAGCTGAAAGTGGCGGGGTGGGAGGTCTGGGGCAGCCCCTTTCATTGGGGGCACAATGCCAGTCCTTGCTAGAGCTGGCGCCCTGGTGTCGTGCTTGCACACCTGCCGGGAAGGAGTGTGCCAGCCGGGCGGGCTGGTGGGTCGTGGAAACGCTTGGGGGAAGGCAGGGCTGCCAGGCAGAGCCAGGGAAGGAAGATGGCCGGCTGAGCGAATTCCACGTTATTGTAGGTCTGCCTGAAGGGGAACCAGCAGCTCTGTCAGCACCAAATCTCCCCTGTCTCTTTTGCCGGCTGTTATGCCCCCCTCCTCTCCGGCCATCCCTTGTGCTGCCCCAGCCCTACCCTGGGTCAGTGGGCAGCTGTGCCCAGGCTCCCAAGGTGGCGATGGCAAGCAGAAAGACGGAGGTCCTCCTGGATGACTCGTTTCGCCTGGAGGAATTCCCAGGGAGCCCTTGCTCCCCCCCCTCTCTGGCAAGAGGGGCTTCCCTTCCCATGCCTGGCTGTGCAACCTTCAGGACAGCCAGAGATATGGAGGAGGAGGGGGGGGGAGAGGAGGAAGAAGAGAAAAAGGAGAAGGAGAGGGAGAGGGAGGGAAGACGAGGAGAGGAGGAGAGGAAGGAGGAGGAAGGAGGAGAGGAGGAGGAGCACAAGGAGAAGGAGAGGGAGGGAAGAAGCGGAGAGGAGGAGAGAAGGAAGGAGGAGAGGGAGGGAAGAAGGGGAGAGGAGGAGGAGCAGAAGGAGAAGGAGAAGGAGAGGGAGGGAAGAAGGGGAGAGGAGGAGAGAAGGAAGGAGGAGAGGGAGTGAAGGTGAGAGGAGGGAGGAGGAAAAGAAGAAGGGAAGGAGGAGGAGAAGGGAGGGAAGAAGGGGAGGGAATGAGGAGGAAGGAGGAGAGGGAGGGAAGAAGGTGAGGAGGAGGAGAGGGAGAGGGAGGGGAGGAGGAGCAGAAGGAGGGGAGAGGAGAAAGGAAAAGGGGAGGAGGAGAGGGGCGAGGAGGAAGAGGAGGAGAAGAAGAGAAGAAGGAGAGGGAGGGAAGAAGGTGAGGAGGAGAGGGAGGGGAGAGGAGGAGGAGGAGCAAAAGGAGAAGGAGAGGGAGGAGAGAAGGAAGGAGGAGAGGGAAGGAAGAAGGGGGGAGGAGGAGCAGAAGGAGAAGGAGAGGGAGGGAATAAGGGGGAGAAGGAGAGAAGGAAGGAGGAGAGGGAGGGAAGTTGAGAAGAGATAGGAGGAGAAGAAGGAGGAGGAAAGGGAGGGAAGGGGAGGGAAGGAGGAGGAAGGAGGAGGGGGAGGGAAGAAGGTGAGGAGGAGGAGAGGGAGAAAGGAAAAGGGGGAGGAGGAGTAGAGGAGAGAGGAGGAAGAGGAGGAGAAGAGGAGAAAAAGGAGAAGGAGAGGGAGGGAAGAAGGTGAGGAGGAGAGGGAGGGGAGGGGAGGAGGAGGAGCAAAAGGAGAAGGGGAGGGAGGAGAGAAGGAAGGAGGAGGAAGGAGGAGAGGGAAGGAAGAAGGGGAGAGGAGGAGGAGCAGAAGGAGGAGAGGGAGGGAAGAAGGGGAGAGAAGGAAGGAGGAGAGGGAGGGAAGTTGAGAAGAGATAGGAGGAGAAGAAGGAGGAGGAAAGGGAGGGAAGGAGGGGAGAGGAGGAGGAGGAGGAGAAAGAGGAGAAGAAGGTCCTTATGGCTATTTGTGAGGTGGGCCAAGGGCCCCATGGAGCTCTGGAGACAGAAGGGGGGTACAAGGGTGAGGGAAAACCCCCTAAGAGAATGTGGGGCATCAGCCCTTGTCCTGCTAGGAGGCCTCTCGGTGGCCACCAGGAGCCTCTGGCTACCAGGCCTTCAGGTGTCCTGGACCTCAGAGGGCAGGTGGCCTTGACCAGCCCACCTTCTCCTCCGCCCGGGGCCCCTGCCTGCCTCCCCATCCAGCCTTCCTCCCCCCATCGCACCCTGGGGATCCGGCCTCTGCCCCCACCCACCCTTGCCCCGCAGAGGGGGGGGAGAGGGAGCCCCCTCCCGACAGGCTCCCGGGGCCGATTCCGCTGCCTCCTGTGTGCAGGTACTTCCCCTTCGGGATCGTCTTCCTGATCGCCGGGAAGATCTTGGAGATGGAGAACCCAACGCTGACGGGAAAGAAGCTGGGCCTCTACGCCATGACGGTGGTGATCGGGCTGGCCATCCACGCCCTCTGCGTCCTGCCCCTCCTCTTCCTCATCCTGACCCGGAAAAACCCCTTCGCCTTCATCCGGGGGATCCTCCAAGCGCTGCTGATCGCCCTGGCCACCTCCTCCAGGTACCGACCCCTCAAGGGCCGCCAACTGGTGGGTCAGACGGGCTGTGGGGCTTCTGCTTCCCTCGGGGCACGGTGGGCACGCATGCTGCCCCCTTGAAGGACCCACCGGCCTAGGAAGCCTCCGATGTCTCCGAGGGCAGCCAACGGGGAGGCCTGGCACGACTTCACCCCAATCCCCAAGGTGCTTTTTCAGGAACTGTCTGGTTTTCCTTTGAAGGCGTTTGGAAGGATTCATCCTCCTCGCAGGTAGCGGGTCATTTGCACCCTTCTTAGAGAGCCCTTGAGGCCACTTGGAGGTTTTTATCTGTTGTCCTCAAGGTCACCAGAGTGGTGCAAACGGTTCCTGTAGTCTACAGTTTTTCTCGGGTTTCCAGAATACTCGCAGACTACAAGAACCATTTGCGCCACTCGGGTAACAGATAAATCTACAAGCAGCCTCAACAACCCTCTAGAAGGAAGGAAATGACCAGCTGTCTGCAAGGAGGACAAATCCTTCCCCACCACCCAGTCAGAGCGGAAGAAGCTTCTTGGACGAGAAGTTGTTGTAATATAGTTCCTTGTGTAGGTGTGGGNAACAAATGTCTCACTTAGCAACATTAATTTTGGGTTCCATTGTGATTGTAAGTCGAGGACTACCTGGATTATAATCAACCTTGCCTTGCCGCTTAGAGTGAGATTTTATTTCATTCAAGGACACGAAAGTGATTCTTTCACACCCTGGGAGAGCTGGATCCAAGAAACCCCATAATCTCATTTGATTCCCCGTTAAAAAACAGCATCGCCCAGCCCTTTCTCCTGGGTTGCCTGGGTTAGTGAAAACAATCGAAGTCTTAAGTTTTCTCGGTTCGGAAATCTTCACCCCCTGTACTTTTTAAGGAGCCCTTGCCGTGGTGTGTTTGTGTGTGTCTGGATGTGTTCAACAGCAACATTGCAAGGCCTGCGAAAGCCCCATGAGCCGAGAAGATTTTCCCTCGGCCTGAAGTTTCACGCTGTAAATAGAATTGAGGAGCTTGCTTTAACCGAGAGAGGGGAGAAAAAAATAATTAACCCATCCTCCGAAACTTCATTAGTCTCCCGGGGTTTAAATTAAGCTTGCAAACGCCCGACCCCTTAGAGTGAATACTGGTTTGAAAAGTGGGGAGCTTTTTAAAAACAGTATTTCTTGGAGAACATTTGTTTTCTAAAACCAACAGGGAAAGCAAAAAGAGAAAAAGAAATCCTTTTTTTTTTTTCCTTCTTGCAAAATGGCTTTTTTGGAGATAAATCGGCAGAACACCATTCTGATACTTCGCCTTTCTCACACCCATGAAAGTGCGTGTTTTTAACCATCCGTGTGTCTGGATATGTTTGGGTAGAAATAGCAATAGCACTTAGACTTACATACTAAGGAAGGAATCGTTTTGTTGAGGCGAGCTCAGGTGGCTGCAAATGGGTGAGGGTCCTTCTTGGAACTGTTGAAAGGACTGTGTTGCAAACAGAAAGAAAGTCTTGCTGCGTCCCTCCCCCTCCCCAGCTGCCTTTTGAAAAAGAGCCTTTGGGGCATCCGCCATCTGGAGGACTAGGCATTTCCATGGACGTATGAGATAAGATGTGGTTACAGTTAAGTTTAAGCCTTTGTGAGTTCACCCCAGTTTGAAGCATTTCAGTTTTGTGTACAAAGCGAAAACAGGGGTCAACAACTTTTTAGGACTCTCCAGCGAAAATGCCTGCCACAGACATTCAGCAAACCTAGCATTTTATCTTGCATTGCAATGGTTTTAATTTCACTGTGTGTGTGTGTGTGTGTGTGTGTGTGTGTGTGTCTGTGTGTGTGTGTAGACTCCCGGAGTGGGGCTGAAAGGCAAAAGGAAAGCAGTATGCTCGCTCCCATATTTGGGCACACTAGGTGCTTTCACATTAAAAAAAAAACAAAACACCAAACACTTAATCATTCCCCTGGCTCGGCTGATAAGGGAGGAGAGCTTGTGGCTTAGAGGTTAATACAACTGCCTAATATGTAAAAACAGCCCAGGTTCGAATCCCAGCAAGAGTAAGGCTAGCTGATGAGAACTAAATAGCTTGAAATAAATCTATACTAGTCTCCCCTTAGTTATTTATCCGCAAAAATGTAACTACAC